TCTTGCTATGGGGAACACGACCACCTGCAAGTTTCTCTCAAGTCACAAACCATCCAGACAATATCGTGTTTCATTACTCCCATTGCGTCAAAATACTGGAACTGCCACTGTAACCGCACTATAAGCGTCCCAACACCACAAGGAATGCAGTGGTTCAAGAAGTCAGTTCACTGCCACCTTCTCCAAGGCAATTAAGAATGGTCATTGAAGCTTTCATCCATAACCCATGAAGAAAAAGAAGAGATTGGCTACCAAATTTGCACACAAAGTCACAGTGGCTTAACAATGTTTTTATTAGAATACACACGATTCTGAGGGGTTGACAAGTTAAAGGCTAAGAGGATGTTTCCCCTCATAGGAAAATCTAAAGCCATAGTTTAAAAACAAAGGATCTTCCATTTAAGGTGGAGGAATTTTGTCTTTTGAAGGTTTATTCATCTTTGAATTTCATCGTCTCAGACGCAGGAGATCTGGGTCATTAAATATGTTCAAGACTGGGTGAGACAAATTTTTGATTGAAAAGAAATCAAAGGTTACAGGATGCCAACAAGAAATTAGAATTGACATCAAAATCAGATTATCCATGTTCTTATTATACTGTGGTGCAGATTTGAGGGTGAATACCTGCTCATGTTTATGTTCTTATGCAATAAAAACAATAGTTCATCAATAACTCATTTACTTTGTTGTGCTTGAGAGGTCTTGATATTGCCTGCAGGGCTATGTACATGCCAATTTCTTTTCAGCTTTTACTGGCCTTACTCTACATTAGTATTCTGGACTTGCTTTATGAAAGCCCTTGATGCGGAACTGCTTTAGTCATTTCTCTCTGGATCTGATGGGCTACATAATAACGTACTAAGTGGTCCAGGGAGCTATGATCAAAGTATCAAGTTTAGTTTTTCCATTGCTACCATGCAACAAACACTGACAGCTAGAAGTGAACACAGGAGCATTGAATAAACATTAACACATTCCCACATTTGCAAACAAACAGTTTAAATTTATTGGGTTTGTTAGAATTTAACAGAATTGTTAAATTAACTGTGATTAGTGATTGCGCAGATTATTTAAATACACTGGAATTATTTAGACATCTGTGCTCAGGACTGTATAAACTGATTCTTCTAATTTCATCATGCAGTCCATCCCCTATGGATTGTAAAGTCTTCATTTCCCTGGAAAGATTATTTTGTGTTTTCCTTATCCAGATCTTGCAACAATGTTAAATGGACACAACAGATGACCCACATTTTGTATCAGTTCCACAAGGAGTTTGCAAGAAAAGGTCTCCTTCCATGCTAGAGGTGAGACACTGACCTCAGCTCAGGGCATCCTTGCCCATCTGAAGATGTCCATGAGGAAGTGCTGGGACTATCTGAGGACACAGTGATACTGAACCAGTGGCTGCTCTTCGGTCAAATATTTTTTGCTCACTTTGCAAGCCTATCCAAGCAAAGAATTGTTGAAAACATTGATTTAAGGTGTGCAGAAATAGAAGCAATATTCATATTAGAAAAATCTGGGATTTTTTTTGACAGAACCAATGGTTAGGATGTGGAATGCACTTTCTGAGAATGTGGTGGAGACAGATCCATTTGTTGTTTCCAATATAAGAGTTGCATCATTATCTAAAGAGGAAACACCAGCAGAGGTGGGGAGTGAAACTATCTTGAGTGCCACTTGTAAGGAGCCAGTCGATACATAATTGGCCAAACTCATTCTGTGCTGTGCTTTGGGACAGACTGAGATTGCAAAAGGTGTGACACAAACGCACGTCTTCTTTTTCCTTTTGCATTAAAATATTAAATACTTTGAAGGCAGAACAAAAAATTATGAAAAATATCATCGAAATGAAGCGTACCACAAATAAGGCACATTGGAACTGATTCTTCCTTGTGTGTCTCTGAACAAAACCTCAGGCAGCAAACTTTGCAAAAGTGACCCTGAGATGCCTGTTACAAGGCAAAGGGAAATGTTGGCTCTCTGGTTCAAAATACAGAAAACCCAGTTGAATTAATTGCAAACAAAGCTAATGAAATTATGAAGGGTGCCAGTCCAGATGGGGAGATCCAGATCATTATCAGTTAGAGTGGAGAAAACATGTTTGATATCAAAAGCGATTTCTGGAACTGGCAGGGAAAATGTTGTTTTCGTAAAAATCTAATATTTTTCAGCTGTGAAAAATGAGATTTAAAATCAATTCCCACACATTCACCCAAAGGTCATTCTGTAATATATTCAAAATGAATTCTTACTACCTCAGTATTGGCTAGTTATTTCATTAGCAGTTAATATTCCTGGTTTTTAATTGGAAGTGAGAGCAGCACTAAGGCTCAGTTGTTAAAACTACCTCACAGGGACCCAGGTTTGATTCCAGCCTTGGGTGACTGTTTGTAGGGAGTTTGCATGGGCTTGCTCCAGGTGTTCTAGTTTCCTCCCACAATCCTAATTCCACCAGTGGGATTTGAAACTGGGTCCCCAGAATATTACCTGGGTCTCTGCATTAACAGTCCAGTGATAGTACCACTAGGCTATTGCCTCCCCTAAACTCAACAAAGGGCTGTGATAATGATCAAATAATCCGTTTTAATGACAGAAAAACAAGATACCATGAATATGGAAATCTCTGAAGGTGTGTGGGGCAGGTTTAGGCGGATCAGCTGGTTGATAATCTCGTGTGTTACCATGTGGGGAAAATGCCTGTTTCAGAAGAGCAGTCCCCACATTAACTCTGTGTGATTCAGCACTCACACAGTTGCGGGGGGTGGTGAGTGGTGGTGATGCGGAGTAGGGGGAGAAGAGAGACGGATTGCTTATGCTATAGAACCTTATTGACTCTCAGCTCCAGAACCCTCAGAACCTTTGACTGTTGCAGTTTGAAATTGTCTTCCATCTGGATCGGTCTTAAAAAAGATTTAATTTCAGAGGAGATGGCACAAAGTCTGCCAACCATCTCGAGGCAGAGAAAAGTAAGAGCTAAATTCTCTTATCTGCTTAGTTTAGTGATGGTGACACTCTTCATCATTCCAGTTTATTATATTTAAACCTAGGTAATCACAAAGAGGTCTGTTGTGATGTAGAAACAAGTAAGATGTTTCATACAGAAAATTATTCTCTTGGAATACCTTCTAAAATGATTCACTTCTCCACGATTTCCTACATTGCACAGCAATACCGTGTGGTGTCCTTTGAAAGAACACAACTTGGAGAAGTGTCCCGTCGAAAACTTGGCAGATGGGGCTTAATGTGGGAAAATGAGATGCGATGAAATTAGAAAGTGTTATTCACTTTGGCAGGAAGCTTAGAGGAGCTGAATGTTATTTAAATTGAAAAAGACAACAAAAAGCTACAGCACGGAGGGATTTGGGAGTCCCCATGCATGAATCACCAAATGGTAATATCCAAGTCCAGCGAGCCTTCAAGAAGGCAAATAGACAGTTGGATTTATATCAAAGGGAAGAAAGAGAGGGAGGTCTTGCCAAGATTATATGAGGCACTACTCTGGTCATAGCTGGAATAGTGTGAACAGTTTTGGTCCCCTTAAGTAAGGAAAGATATACTGACATTGGAGGCAGTCGAGGGAAGGTTGAATATCTTGATTCTGGACGTGGAAGGATTTTCTTATGAGGAGAGATTGAGTAGACGGGCCCATACTCGTTGAAATTTAGAAGAATGAGAGGAGACCTAACTGAAACAAAGAATATCATTACAAGGTTTGGCAGAGTAGATTTGGGTCCAGTCCATTTCGTTTTTAAATCTTTTCCACATCAAGATCCTGATTGGCACTTTTCTTAAACCTCAGTTTCATAAATCATCATCCTTGTCCTTAATGTGCTGTTCAGCATAAGGTAAGGGCTGTTTAACGTAGTTTACTGTCTTCAGCACTTCTTTGTCTACACTGTGTCTCAGGCCTCTAATTATTGGTGATAAGGGATAGACTACTACAGACTCTTTACAGAAAAGGCACTTGTCTTGGTTAAAAGATAGCTTATTTTAGGACTGTAGTAAGTATAACTTTTATTACTAGCCAGGCAATAATTACCAAGAGCTCTAAGAGCTGTACAGAAATACATCTTCTCCCATGAAGGCTCATGTAGAATTCACTGTCTCCAAGACTGGTCATGTCAACACAGAGAATGGGTGGAGCAAATGCAACTTCAACATTAATTCTTTCAGAAATATTTACCTTGTACAATTTACCCAATATCCTATACTTGTTTGACTAATCTCCTTCAGCTATGTGTCCCACCGACACATGATCCTTGTCTGTATTTCTTTATTAGTTGAGAGATAATGGGCAGAAGGGAGAACCAAAAACAACCTCATGTCACCTCTTGTCAGAAAGTCCACTACACTTTGTTCCACTCAGGCAGTTGTCAGGCCAACAATAGGCTTTCCCTTGGGATCAAGGACCTTGAGTGTAACATTCCCGCTGGTCAGTTAGAGGCCTGTAGCCATACAGAATGACAGTACCACCAGGAAAGGTGGTGGCTGCTGCCAATATGACATCCAGACTCCCACCCAAAGACAGGTGCCAGTGCTGTATCTCAGTGACAAAATGAGGGATAATGGGAACAGCATGAGGTGTCATGGAGTCACAGAATGGGGCTCATGAGGGAAGTAACTGGCAGCAAGGGCAGGGACCAGTGACTCTTTCAGCACTAAACCCCCAACCTATCCTGATGCCAGGTCCTTTCGACTAGCACTGAGTGCCTTTGAATTATGGCCATCCCTGGAGGCCCACTAGCAGCCCCAACAGTGTTTATCGTCAGAATTCCCACATGGTGAGCACCTCCTCCTGTTTTGCATTATTATCATTGGCTCATTAGTGACTGAATGATGACCTTAAGTGTGCATTATTGGCCCGTTTTAGGACCTCAACTGAATCTTTCCTTATAATCCAAGGTACACTTGCATCTTGACCAGTCACTGAAGCTGATGCAATCAATATTTGCATTCCCGACCTGATTGTGATTTTAATCTTTACTCCAGTACGCGGCTTGAACAACGTGGCACAGTTCCCTCTGTGTAAAGTTCTTTTTACCTAATTTTGTAATGCTGATTGCTCTTTTAGATTAACATCCTGAGCAGCGTCCTTGCGCAGGCCCCTCCCGGCGAGTTCAGTGAAGTGGTCAATGGTGAGTTCCCAGCATTTTTACAAATTGCAGAGTCTGCACCAACACAATGGGGCATACAACAAAACCTGGTTACTTCACATGTAAATAGCATCGGATTCTTTGGCAAGGTTAAAGCTGAATGTAAAACTCTAGATAACTGATAAGTTATAAAGACAAGATGTTGTTTACTCTTCTGTCAGTCCCATAGGTCAATTTCCTGTTCTTGAAACTATACTCCAAACACCAGACTATAGCTAAAACTGAAAAAAAAGATTGGTAACCTCCTTTTCATCCAAAGTCCTCTTCTTTTTACTAAAGAAGGTTACTCTGTTAAGAATTTTTTTGAATGAATGACGAGAAGAGTGTCAAACCTTCAGGCAGCTAAACTCATTTGGATTTTGAATAGCTTACCTGTTATTGGGATTGAACTTGCTTTACATAAAGTGATGAGAAAAATAGTTATAAATGATTAGTACTCAAACTTAGAGTACAGCCAACATCAGTAGTGTTGACAGCAGGCACTTAATTATTTTAGTTACTTAATAATTACATAATAATTAATAGATAACAATAGACTCTAGCACAAACAAGGGTGATTACTGGTGGTGGTAAACATAGATGAAAAAATTCCACATGTGATTTGTTGATGGTGACGAAAAAATGTTGTGTGCAAGATCGCTTCTGGATATAGAAGGAAAAATAGGCTGTAGTGTTCTCTTTTGATCCTACTAAGGATAATTTTTTACCACTCATCAAAATGATGACAGACTTGGGTGCTAGAGATGTGTTGTCATTTGGGATTTGAATACAATATGTTCCAGTACCTATAATGGGGCTAACATATATTTGCCATGACATGTTCACTGTAAAAAGACAAATCCATGGACTCCTGATGGGGGAGTCAGCACTAAAAGAAACAGAGTCCAAAGATATTGCAACAAAGGCAATGTCCCTATGAAAAGATTTGTACTCAACCATTAGAATTTCACCTCATGGCTCTAGTTTTTAATTACAGTTCACGTTGGTAGAAAAGGCCAAATTTCAGCTCTGGTGTTAAGGGGCATTCGCTAAGGGGCATCTTCACAATTTCCACAGTAATTCAGTAAAGGAGTAAAAATAGGATGGCTTCCATGAGAGGCAGGGAATCATCTTCGTCAAAATATCAGCCAGGCAGTGGCGGTGAAAACTACATTTTTAAGCTTCTTTAGATTAGATACTCAACCAATCAATTGTCTGTCTCACTCATGACCCTCCCCTCTTCCAACATTTAATTCCACCATTGTGTCAACTCACATATCAATAAACCCAAGTATTTACTCCCCTCACCTACATTAAATGTCAATACTCAAATTAAAGTTGAACAGTGGTCATCAGTCAAATTGTGAACTGCAATGCAAACTCTATGTCAACCAATGAAGTTATCTGCTCTTACATTCCAGGAATAGTGGTTGCCTGTACATCTGTCTCAAGCTGAGGATGATACACAACAAGCACAGAACTGATTTACTCTAGAATCTGTCTCCAAATTCTACTGTCTAAATGGTAGTAAAATTAATCTGCCTTTGCAGGGGCCTGAGCAATGTTGTGGTATAAACTTTGACTCTCATTGGTGTCAGTCAATAAGATTGATATTATTAGTTAGGTTCAAGCGTGAATATTGACATTTTACATGGAATAACTTGGCAACTCTTCTCTTGGTTGTTGCAGATATGCGGGCTTTGCTAAATGATGATGAGTTGATATGTGAGAACATAGAACGGTGAGCATGAGCTTATTTTATGTTTTTTTTTCACACAGTTGTCTATTTGTACACATAGTTTTAAAGGCATACAAGGGCACACAAAATAGGTCCTGCTGATTTATCGGTATATCCAAAGTGATTTATCTCCTTGTAAACAGCAAGCACTGCTGCAAGAATGTATACATGACCTTCCATCAACTTTGCATCTGCAATCTCATACAAACCATGGTTCACTTCTGACCTAAGTCCTCATTGTTCATTCTTGATAAAGGCCTCCTCACTTATCATCAACTGGTATCCAAATAACCTTGGAATTTGGAACAATTCCATCAATTTAACAAATGCCAAGCCATAGCTGAATTCATATTTCCAGACTGCCACATAAACTTACCAGGCAGCTCCTCTATGCAGACCTTATGGAACACTGTTGAAGTGTAACAAGCCGTGCACAGGACAGATTAAAATTCTCAAGAAGGAAATTGGTACCATAGTTAACTTGTTATTAGAGATGCAGGGAAATCAGTCACGTACCTACAGTTCTTTGAAGAGCAGAATATAAGGAGGCTGTACTTCACCAGGCAGCCAGGTACGGCAATGTTTGCCTTCTACAATACCTGCCACCCACAGCTGATGTTACACAAGTTATGACAGCTGAAGTCACTTAAATTCATCAACATATTTTTCTGTAGCTCTTTCCAACTTGCCTTAAGGAACTTTAAGCAACATTAGTCAGTCTGCAGTCTATGCTCACATTAAACAGGCAATTGATTTTTTTTTTAAATTGGAGCAAGTGCTTTCAGTTTTTCGCTGTGGGAAGCAGGATAGAGATATGACTTTGGAATTTGCTTTATTTGTGGGCTCCTACTCAGACCAAGGTCTGCTGTCTGTCTTCATGATTCACAATGACTTCCCATGTAACTGCAGTGTGATTACTGGCAATGTATCAGGCAGGTCTGTGACCACATTCCAGGAAACTGTAATGATGCTTTTTTTTCTTGCAGCAATCTTCTACTTACCATTCCTTGGCTTTGCAAAGCTATTGGTTTCTTGAAGATAAGGGCTATCCCCTACATAGCACATGGTTCCTCTTAGAATTTGTGTTTGACAGCTGAACTGCACTACTGTTGGACCTATGACTCTGCTACAGCCTCATTGATCAGATGGTATTTTGAGAGGTCTCAAGCAATTATTTCAATGCTTGGAGATATCTGTAAAACAACCTAGGAAGGGTTCGATTTCATCCTCCGATAACTGTCTGTGTGGAGTTTGCATATCCTCCTTGTGTATGCATAGGTTTCCTCCGGGTGCTCCAGTTTCTTCCCCCTGTCCAAAGATGTGCAGGTTAGGTGAATTGGCCGTGGGAAATGCAGTGTTACAGGGATAGGGGAGGGCAGGGGTTGGGTCTAGGTACAATGCTCTTCATTGGGTTGGTGTGGACTCAAAGGGCCGAATGGCCTGCTCCCACACTTTGGGGATTCTGTGGAACTTAATAAAGAGAACCCGGTAATGTATAGTATACTGCATAGTTTGGCTCTGAAATGAAGACAACACATGAATCTACAGTGTTTAGTGTAGTGACGGATTTGATACTGATGACACTGAGGATAACTCAGAAAAAGGTAAGTTCCAACATTTATCTATGGCAGTGTTCTTTAACATCAAATCACAGAACAGCACTTTGGCCTATCATTCCTTCGCATTAAAATCATGTCCAACGTCTGTGCCTGTCTATCCACCATCAAATAATTTGCACCCATTGAAACATCAACATTGATATTCATGTCATCTAACCTCGTAGAGTCAATAGCTACTACAGTAACGTTCCACGCACACAAAGATTTCAAAAAGTCTATCATTTTCATGTCTTATACAAAGACCTGGCTTTGATTAACCCACCAGTCCTAATCCCCTGCTGCTTGCCTTGGGGTGCTGACTTGAATAGCCCAGTGTAAGTTAGTCTCCAGTGACTCCAGCTGAAATGATTGAAGACAGCTATTCAGTCAGGGAGTTTTCAGATAGTGCTAAAGAAAAGTCATATTTGACTTGAAGTGTTAAGTCTGTTTCTCTCTCCACAGATGCTGCCAGATGTGATAAGTTTCTCCAGCACTTTTTGTGTTTGTTAAAGACTCTTGAAAAGTGCATGGCCAATGACCTCTAGCAGATTGGGCCTCTAAGAGCCTGGTTGTAGACTACAGCATTTCAGGAACTGTATTTGGCCCAGCTGACATTCTGGCACATGGTGGCCACGATTGAAGATGCTGTGAGGGTCCAGGCTTGATGTCTATGAAACTGCAAGTGGCCTCAAATTTACAATTAGTGCAGAAAGTTAATCAGAGAGAAAATCAAACCGCATTCCCAGCTCAATCATTGTGTAACAGCCCCTGCAGGAAAACCTGTGAATGTAGACATCTGGTGACTGAAACTTGGTAGTCAATTATACTATGAGCACTCACTTTTTGAGCTCTCACAGAAATGAGAAATGAGAGATAACAGGAACTGTGAAATCTCACGCCAAAATGAACGAATGTATGTATTCAAGAGGGAGGTAAAGTTGAAATAGGAAATGAACATGCAATCCACAATAGTGCTAAATTTTAAATTGAGTTGTATAAGTAATATTTGACATGTGCCAAGATTGAATATCAGGTACAATGATAAAATCCATGAATATATTCTGGGAAATGAGTTAATATTGGGGATTAGCTTTGATTCCAGAGCATAATCTATTTGGCAGCTATCAACCAATCGGGGGAATTGCTAATTTCACATTCACAAAAGGGTACAATCCCAAGTCTCAATCATGCCCCACAAAAGTAAAAAAAATCTCTTTGTGACTAGGATAAGAGTTTGTGTGCTAACTGCGTGTTATTTTACAGAATCACTGCAAAATATAACTTGGAACAATTTACTCCTGTTAAAGTAATGGAGCACAAAGAAAAGGTGTGTGGACAGTAATTGAGATAAATCTTTGAAAATTGGGCTGTTTAATTAACGAAGCTAAATGTTGAAACCCAAACAAATAACGTAAAATCTGGTCAGCTTTTCTTTTGGGGGTTTTTACTTTTCATCTTGTGGCCTCTCCTTGTCCTATAACTTTCTTTGTTTCAATATAGCTCTTTCTTTGGACAAACACTTTAGAGGGAGATGATGGCCTAATGGTATTAGAGCTAGACTACTAATCTAGAGGCCCAAGTCATGTTCTGGAGACCTGAGAAAAGATGGTGGCATTTGAATTCAATAAAAGTCTGGAATTAAGAGTCTAATGATTAATCAATTTTTGGAGAAAAACTCATCTGGTTATCTAATGTCCTTTAGGAAAGGAAATTGCTGTCCCTACTAGACCTGTTCTGGCCTATATGCAACTCCAAACCCACAGCAATGTGATTGCCTCATTTCTGCCCACTGGGTGATTAGGATGGCAAGTAATGCCCACATTCCATGAATGAAGAAAAGAAAAAGCCCCCTGTCTGAGGCATACCTGAAGAGAGATTTGGGCTGGAGTATGGAAGCAAATCCAGTGATTAGGGGAGAGGAAAATAGGGGAAGAAGGAAATGAAATCTCACTCCCAAAAAGACTTCAAGATTAACAAACTTACAGCAACTTTCATGTAGTAAATTGTCCCAAAGTACCTCACAGGAGCGTTATCAATCAATATGTCAGATACACCGTCACATAAGGATATGTTAAGGAATTGTCTCCCACATAAAGGCCTGATCCGATAATAACTTATATTAATGTGCAAGGGGCCAGAATTTCAGGTTTGCTGACAACTCTGGGGTCACTGCAAGTAGACCTATGCCAGCTTCCTTCACAAACACAGGCAAGGAATCAACCATTTCAGCAGAGATTGAAGTCTGAACCAGTTGCAACACCACGCATGAACCAGGAGCATCATTTTTCACAGGCATCTGTTGTTCTGATACTCAGCCACTAGGTGGCAAAAATAATATTTTGTAATGAAAAATCAAATTTTTTCTCTATGAAGGTACTCCTTCAAGTATTAACAAATATTTGCATACTTAGGGAACCACGACAAGCATAAATTAACTCCCAGGGAACTCTTCATAAATATTAACTAACACTTAACATTTAGCAATTATTAATTAACTCACGGAGAACTCCTTGCAAATATGAACACATACTCGGGGACTCCTGTAATAATTAACACACCCTCAGTGATTCAATTTAGATATTAACACACCTCAAAGTCTCCCTCCAAATACATACTTTGACACCTGTGCACATATTAAGGGTATATTCAGATATGCAAGCAAAACCATTCTCCAAGATTCCATGGAAATATTAACACCTAAGGCACCCCATATAAATATCAAGACAACCAACAACTTCCCTTGAAAATATCAACACACTCCAATGCACCCTTGCAAAGATGAAGAGATTTATGAGTTTCATTTACAAATATTAATGTGAGCTACTGGAAAAAAGTCTACATTAAGTCAAACAGAAATTATGTCCTGATTAGTCAAAAATACAGATGCATTTCTCAAAGTGATGTGTTCTTTAAACCTCATCAGACATATTGGAAATAGATCTCACACCATCAGTCCTGATATTTCATTTCAAAAGATCCAGATTGAAGTATGAGAGCATAGCTCAGACCAATGTGTTTTATCTGAAGACCGCAACTGATAGGTTATTTGTATATTTTAGTTGTTCACCATTAAAAAAAATAGTATTTCTGCAACTTAAGTGTAACTGCATGGTTTTACAGGTAATAGATTAAATAGACTTATTTGAGATATAAGGGGGTCAGTTAGCTCAGTTGGATGGACAGCTGGTTTGTGAAGCAGACTGATGCCAACAACAGGAGTTTAATTCCCACACTGGCAGAGGTTACCATGAAGGACTCTCCTTCCTAGCCTCGCTCCTTGTCTGCAGAGTAGTGACCCTCAGGTTAAACCACCACCAGTCATCTCCCTCTAAAGAGAGACCAGCCCTATCGTAGGACTATAGTGACTATTTGAGTTATTAGCTTTTTGAAGTTAGTTTTCATTGGTGTTCTAGAATAACATATCTGCATCATTTTTAAATGATCCACATGAAATGTGACCATTGTAGGCATTCAAAAATATGGAAGCAATATAATTGAAATATCACTTATTCAGTAAACACATTGTTCTTTATTCTATATTTTTAGGTGCTTATCACCAAGCATGGTAACCTTGGGAATGGATACTTTCTGGACCCAATGCAGAAGATTTCATTCAAGTTCGATCACTTGAACAAAATTGTTTCTGACATCCAGCCATGTGCATTAGATATTTCTATAGAGAGTTGGAGGAGAGCTGTAGAATGTGCACTCATTAATTATGTGAAGAAGCACTACCCAGATGGAAACTGCTCTGTAAGTGGCCTCCAGAAATTATATTATTTCCATTACCATCTCCTGAAGTGTAATAAAAAGATGGAAGACAATATTTTTAGTCTACAAGCCAAAAATCAAGCTATATGATGCCAAAAAAGCATACTGCCAACAAAGAAGGTATCAGTACTTGGCCTATAGTCTGCAAAAACAGACTTTCATTTATAAAGCATTTTTCATAACCATGATATGACTCAAAGTGCGTTAAAACCAATTAAGTGCATCTGAATATAAGCACTGTCAAAATGTCAAAAACGCCACAGCTAACTCCCTCAAAGTATTGTGATAGTAACCAGAAATCCTGCTTCTCTGTGGTGCTGATTCAAAAACATGCCATGGCATCTTTCATGTTTATTCATGAAAACTCAGTTTAATGCCTAACCCAAAAGAGAGCACCTCCAAAAGTGTACTCTCTCAGTACTGCACTGGAGTGTCAACTTTGACTTTTGTGCTCAAGCCTCAAGTAGTACTTGAACCCCGGACCTCATGTCTCAGAGGCAAAGTGCCACCAACTGAGCCATAGCGGACACTCCTGGTTAAAATATGGAATACTGCACAACAATCCTCCATCATCTTGTAGCCAATCAGCTACAAAATAGTCAATGTAGTCTTCAGACATTGTGCCCTATGCAGTGATGTGTGGTTATATTCAAACTGAAAGATTAATAATTGTGCCATAATCACTAGAAGCTTATGAAACAAATAATTTACAGGCAGTAAACAGAAAAAAAAACATGGCATTTAGAATTACAGTTAATGTTTCAAGTCTAGATGACTCTTCATCAGAGCTGAAGTGAAGTGTGGAGGGGACAGTATGTACGCTGTAGCTGGGCAGGGTGTGGGGGTGGTGAGGTGTAGAATGCTAGGAGACAAAATATGTTGATAGTGTCGATTAGGTGATCAGAATGTGAGAATGGCAATGGTGTGTCTAACTGCCACTAGGGAAGACAGTCCCACTGGGGTGGGGGGAGGAGAGAGAGGACATGGTGACAGAGAATGTAACAAGTAAAACTAAAAGAAAGTGTAGAAATGGGAGTTGGTTCACAATTTGAGGGTGTTGAACTCAATAATAAGTCCAGAAGGTGTAAAGCGTCCAGTCTGAAGAAGAGATGTTGTTCCTCCAGTGTGCACAGTGATTCACTAGAACACTGCAACATGTTGAGGATGGACATGTGGGCATGCAAGCAGGACGCTGTGTTAAAATGACCAGCTACAAGGAGGTCAGGGTCATGCTTGAACACAGACTGGAGGTGTTCTGCAATGCAGTCACCCAGTCTGCATTTGGTTTCTCCAATGTATGGTCGGCCACATTGGATGCGGCGAATACAATACACAAGATTGGAGGAGATACAAGTGACATGCTGCTTCACCTGGAAAGACTGTTTCGGGCCTTGGATGATGAGCAGGGAGGAAGTGAAGGGGCAGGTGTTGCACCTTCTGCAGTTACATAGAAAGGTGCTATGGGAAGTGGTTTGGTATTAATGGTCAATGAGTGGACTAGGATGGAATCTTGTCAAAGGCTTTACTAAGGTCCAAGTAAACAATGTTGCTTCTTTCTCTATTGTCTTTCCCCCTTCTTCATCGTTTTCTGATAATTCTGATGTCTCCACAACATATGAATTCTCTCTGAGATATATTTCGAACCTATTTTGTGAAAGAAACTATTCCTTGTATGTCAGTTAGATAGTGAATTTTTGAGGTTGCGGGGTGGTGGTATCCAGTAAAAGAGAAGAGAACAGAATCAAACCCAACAGTACCCTGACCCTATATTGGTGGACAAGCATATCCAACAGGAATTATTGACTGGTAATCAGGATTGGTAGCACAACTTAATTTTCACCTTTCCGAACTAAAGTTCTCATTGTACTGTTACCTGCCCGTGATAACCTAACTCAGCGCTGATTGAATCAGAGCCACCCTGGTTTCAATGTTTCCCTAAGTGGTTAAACTTGCAACAGGGCTTTTTACTTCCACCCTATCAGGTGCAATTATTACTTCATATTGCTCTTGAAACCTTTTGCATTCATTTCTGTTGACAAAATCTTCTTGTGGCAGGTATATGGACAAACTTACGGCAATAATAAAGTTATCACTGCCTGCATTGAATCGCATAAATATCAGAGAAATGAGTTTTGGTAAGTTACATTTATGTAATCTGCTCAATTTCTCTCAGTCTTGTACTATCTGTTTGCAATAGACAAAAAGAAAAAAAAACCCAAACAAGGTATATAACCGGAGAGACTTTTCTGGTTCTCTTTCTTCTTTTCTGATGGCATCATTTTCCTTCTGTGGTACGTTTCCACCTCTGAGAACTTCCCAGCCAGACCTCATTGAACTCAGATGAGCAGAGATTGAGAGTATCAAAGAGCCGAACCATTTGGTGGAGTGTCATGAAGCTACTACATTTAAAATTATCGCCCATCGGGAGAAGCCATGCCTTTCATTCAAGTAGGGGCTATGGGCTGGATTTTCCAAAGAGATGCAGATTACCATTACAGTCCTTTTTTCTACACAGGAAAGGGCTCTGCATTTCTGACAGTAGATTCTAATCAGGGTTCTTTCAGAAATGTGGAGCTGTACTTTTATTCTGACAGGTCCGTCATAGTGTACAACAGTTAAGGTAAGGCAAACCACCCTTCCTTCCCCTTCAGAGCAGTCAGTTGCCATATCCTGAGGTTTCAAGGTGCAGCATTGTAGACTGCCAATTTGACAGCTCTTGTGAAAGGGTCAGTGCATTAAGTAAGCAGGAGGTTAGGATGCTGGGAGGATAGGTTGTCAGGTGCATAGAAGGCAGTATGACAGGTAAGCAGAATTCCAAGTGGGTAGAGGGAGGTGCCAAGTGAATAGGGTGCCAGGACAAAAGGTGGCAAGGGGGCAGGTAAATTATGGAAAGTTTACCTCACAGTAAGTAACTGACATGACTCCTCAAAGTCAGTTTACCATCTACAAGGCACAAGTTAGGGGTCATCCACTCGTCTGGATGATTGCAGCTCCAATAATACTTAAGAAGCTTGACACCATCCAGGAAAGAGCAGCCCACTTGATTGCTAGCACATTCAGAAATATCCATCCCTTCACCACTGACCAACAGTAGCAGCAGAGTGTACAAAGCACAGGACATACTGCAGAAATTCACTAAGACTTCTTAGACAGTGCCTTCCAAACCCACATTCACTGCCATCTAGAACAGCAAGGGACAGAAAGTACACAAGAACACAACCAATTGCAAGCTGCCCTCAAAGCCACTCACCATCAGTGTCACTGTCAAAATCCTGGAATTTTCTCCTTACCGAGAATTGTTGGTGTACTTACACCAAAAGACAGCAACAGTTCAGAAAGGAAGCTTCTCAAATGGTAGTTAGAGGTGGACAACAAATGCTGACCTGGCCAACAAGCCAGATCCCCTAAAGAATTACATCAAAAGATTTGTTAAAATCGAAAGAAAATTTGCCAATGGTAAGTGAAGCTGAATTTTAGAAGCAGCACAGATTGACCTAAAAGGAGAAGATGGACCTTATCACAAGGAGATCAGCAGAATCCATTTGGTTCTTAAAAGATACAAAGGACACATGTGAGAAACCAATACTGCAAGCAGGATAGACTTCAGATACTAAAAGTTTGTCGTCAGTGATGTGGAGCAAAGAAACTTCACAGTGCCTAGTTATCAAAAGGGAATACTTAATCCACAATATAGTGTGACACTTTCAGAAAATGTGACAAAGTAGGTACAGTCACAGAAAAGCAAGAATTTAAATAGATACCCACACAAAGAGGTCAATGAATTAGAATAGTTTACAATAGAAAAAGAAGTTTTCTGATGTGTTCCCAGCAGACTTAGGGAATATTGATGTCAATAGACAATGCAATAGCTTCAAGCTTGATACAGGGCCGTCACAATATTATTATGTAGAGAAACAATCGTGTAACTCCATGTTCCAGGAGGCACTGCACTTTAGATGAAGGATAATGTTGCAAGAAACTGTCCAACGTGAGACGACTTATATGCGCTCCATAATTAAAAATTCTCACACTGGGGCAAGAATGCATGCCTTGTCCTTAACCTTCTTCACAAAAGTGAAAAGGTTGGACAGCAGAAGATAAAAGACACTGCTGATCAGAAATACCCCAAATTATTCAATGTTTTGGGGAAGTTCATTATGGTCTACTCACACTGAAGAAAGATTGAACATAGAACATTACAGCACAGGAACTGGCCCTTCAGCCCACCATGTCTGTGCTAACCATAATGCTATTCTGAACTAATCCATGCACTCTACCATGAGAAGAGGAGAAGAATAAACAGCTTCCATTGCTGGACATAATGGTAGAGCGCAGGGCAAATGGGGATTTCCTAACAAAGGTACACAGGAAAGCCACACACACTGACCAAGTACTGAATTTCAACAGCAACCACCCTAACACACACAAACGAAGTTGCATGAGAACATTATTTAAATGGGCAACAACACACTGCAGAAGCACAGAGCTATGCCAAAAGGAAGAAGAAGAATACCTCTTCCAGGTACTCAAAGACAATGGATACCCGAAAAATTGGGTCAGAAGATGCCTATTACACAAACGACACCAGGAAGATACTATATGCCCTGACAGACTCATCACACTAATTTACATCAGGAACACATCCGAACTGACCACAAGACTCCTACAACCACTGGGCATCAGAGTAGCGCACAAACCCACATCAACTCTACGACAACTGCTCACCCGAACCAAAGACCCACTGCCCACTATGGACAGGATCAATGTCATATACAAGATTCCCTGCAGAGACTGTGACAAACACTACATTGGACAAACAGGAGGAAATTAACAACAAGGGTACAAGAACATTAACTGGCTGCAAAACGACACGACCAATACTCACTCATCTCTATCCGCATGGACAAGGAGAACCACCAATTCGACTGAGACAACACCAAGATCCTGGGACAAGCAAAGCAGAGACAAGCACAGGAATTCCTAGAAGCCTGGTACTCCATGAAGAAAGCCATCAACAAACACATAGAGCTTGACCCCATATACACTCCACAGTAAAGGAAAGGCAGGAGTGAGGTAATCCAGCTCAACAGACTCCAGAGTTCAAATAACAGGTGGGAAAACACAACAGTGCTTCATCGGAGGCTGCACTGATGATGTTACCCAGCAGGGTAATGAAACGTCTGCGGAAAAACAACGAACCAGCTCGGCGAGCCAACCAACCACAACATCTTACAGATTCCTTATGTCCTCATCACAACATACCTGCTTGCCTATTCTGTATTTTGAGAAAATGTAAATATATTACACTCTGCTTATCTTTCAAGTCTTTCAAGATATAGAAGATTGAAGCCCCAGGACTGATCCTTTTGGAACTTGACTAGTTATATCTTTTCAATCTGGAAAATACCCATTAATCCTGATACTCTGCCTTCTGTACATAAACCAATCCTTAATCCATTCTAATAAATTACCCCAATATCATGGGCTGCTATCTTGTGCAATGACCTTTTACGTGGCACCTTTTCAAATGCCTTCTGTAAATCCAAATACACTACATTTAGCTATTCTCCTTTCTCAACTCTGCTTGCTACACACACAAAGAACTCTAGAATTAGAATTGGATTTAGAATTAGAATTAGAATTAGATTTTCTTGTCATGTGCACTCAATTTGTCAAACATGATTTCCCTTTCACAAAACCATGTTTACTTTGTTCCATTACATTAGGTTTTTATAAATATCCTACTACTTTTTCATGAACTCTAGCATTTTCCCAATGACAGATGCTAACGGGCCTATAGCTTCTTGCTTTCAGTCTCCATCCCTCCTTGAACAGGGTGGTGAGTTCTGGGATATTTTGACCAATGCCTTCACGATCTCTGTGGTCACTTCCTTCAAAACATTTGGATACAGGCTAACAGGTCCTGGTGACTTGTCTGCCTTTAGTCCCATCAGTTTTTCAAATTCTTTGTCCCTCGTGATTGATACTGCTCTAAGGAAGTCTTACCTTACTAATTTTGACTATTTTTCAAAGTAGATATAGGTAAAGAATACATATACCACCACCACAAATGCTGTTAGCAGTGTTCTGCAAGCCATATTTGCAATGCATGTTACCCTGATGTGGTTATTTTGAATAATGGATTACAATTGTAATGAGTGCTCCAGCCAAATTGCAGCATGTTCTGGATTTGAGCATAAGTTTGCTGAAATACCCAAAATTGAATGGGGAAGCCAAGATTGGAATCCAGACAGTCAAGTCTCCTGTGAAGTAAAATGCTGACTCCAAACTATATTACCAATCCATCCCACTCCAATGTGGCTTGTTGCCATGAGAATTAATGATGGGCACAAATCTGAAGACTCAGTTATCCTAAGAAAAAAGTCAACTCCACATTTACAACCATCGAGATCTATGTAGGAAGGAACAGTTCTACAGTGCACAACGGAAAACATACTATATTAGGCACCACCAAGCAAAACAGTTAATCAATGTGGATCAAGGGTATCAAATGTAGATATGGTACAGTAGCAGGAAAGATAGGGTCATTCAGGCAAGTGCAGACCAGCAGTGATTGTATGTTGTTTGTACAGCAGAATGAGTTGCAAGAAGGAAATGCAAGAACCTCACCCCATTCAGCAACAATCAACCACTGCTCTTTAGTTAGGTTTGTCCCAACAGGACCATCACAAAGAAAGAGACTTTTAACCCTCACACTGTCAGGAACAGAATCAAAGTCAACTGTGTTCAATTCCGTGACCTACCGATCTTGGAAGTCTAAACAGAATGCATTCTGAGTGAAACCTCCAGGCTGCCTGAATCTTTGAAGTCAGCAATTCTGGGGGAAGATAGGGTTATCATACATGTAATTATATCACAAATGAGAAAAAAAATAAAAATATAGAAGGATTTTGATAAGGGTATAAGGGAATGAAAGGGTTAATACAGAGAAGTGCCTTAAGTGCTATGATGATGTCATACCAGCTTGGTGGGAGAACAACTTAGGATCTCAAAGCAGTAAGACTTATCATATACTCCTCTTCATAGTCTCTGTAACGTTGGCTATCATGTCAGTGCAATTGTATTTAGTTGCTAACTAGCAATAGACAAGCAAAAACCAACAACCTCACTACCATCTTGTTTAAGATCCTCCTCTCATCAGACTAGTAAGTAGTTTTCCTCTACCACAGAAGACCAGGCCCTGTAGATCCCTACATTGAGAAGACGATGGCAGCAAACCTACCCCATGGTGAACAATAGTGCAGATAGCCTTGTACAACAAAGGTGATCCGCAGTGATGCTTGCTTTTGCAACATGCTCAATATTGTATTTTAAAGGGTTAACCCATATTCTGTGACTCAGAACAGAGTAAAACTTGAATCAGATCAGCCAAATTCCCTAACCTTTTTTTTTCCGCCTCAATCACTATTAGTTAACTATCAAGTAGCTACTGTAGTTAAGCACTCTTTCGCAAAGGATCATTCTTAAATTTTGTCTTACAGTATCTTGCAATCACTTCCTTGCCCGTTGAGCTTGAATACTATCAATGTTAAACAGATTAACTGCAAAATGTTTCTATCCATTCTGATTTTAGGAATGGCTTTTGGAAATCTGAATGGAAACTTATGCTCTGCCCATCAAATGCTGAAGTCACAGGTACAATTAAGGTGCAGGTAAGTAAGGATTCAGCAATGGGTTATCACTAACACCATTTTGATACATGGTGTAAACAGTTGCTGCCTGTGTCATAAACAAATAGCACCAGTTCCCATGCAAACAAATGGAAACATTGCATAGGTTCAAAGGGAAAATTCAATTATTGCTGTTGTTCCTCAACACTTGCTAAGCAGCATTAACCTACTATGAGCGAGTTTTTGCAGACACACAGATTTTGCATCAAACTTCCTACTGTGATTTTGTCTTTCAACATCATGCAGCGGTTCATAAAATTATAAATACCAAACAAAGATTAATTAATCAATGCATCATAAATTGTATCTTTCAAATAAAAAGGACTTAAGGAAGTACTACCTATACTGTTAGAAGAGAAAAAAAATCCAGGCAGGAAGCATTGATCAGAAAGAATCCTATCAGTAGAATTCCCAAAATACTAGCAACCACAGGAAAAATAAACAAGCGTTATTTTGGTTTGACAGAATGGATCCAGTGGGCCGAATCTGCTGTAAAACAGTTAAATCATAAGTCGGTCACGTATCAGAAAAACAATGCAATAGGAGCTTAGTTTTTTTCACTCATTTCTTTCTTCCATGAACTTTCTCATGGCCTTTTCTCTCTGGAGATTCTAGTTTCAAGGTTGGTCAGGATTCCTTGAGCAATGGTGACCTTCTGTACCTCACCGAATGAACCACTTTTCACATGGGTGCAGGAAGTCACGGCAAATTATTCAAGCACATAGAATGAGGGCAGCATAGTTCATTGATCACACTTGGGTACTTGTAGCATTCCACTGGTTAGTAATGGGGAATGGGCATTATATTCAGTTTATCACACTGTAATCCAGAAGCATCGATTTATCATGGGCCACATTCTACCATCTCAGCTGAGATCAATTAGTTCCATTCAGATCAGAGAACAAACCTGGAACAAAAAAAATTCCTGGTATATGATTTACTCTGGCAAGGCCAGAATTAGTGACTATTCATAATTACCTATGAGAAGGTGGTGGTATTAAAACTTATAAGAATCCGGGGGGTTTGACAGGATAAATGCTATGAGAATTTTTCGCCTTGGGGTGGTACCTGGAAATAAGGACATTATTTTAAAATAAGCGATCACATTTAAGTTGGGGATAAGCAGAGATTTCTTCTCAGTTGCGTGATAATCTTTGGAATTCTTTACTTTAGAGAGCTGTGGTGTTTTAAGACAGAATTAGGTAGAAATGCAGGGGACTTGCCTGCTGATGGACAGCCAGTGGGAGACCCATGCTGCCTCCTCCAGGGAAGGGGCCCTGGAATCTCACACATAACAGGCATTACTTAGGCCACCAATGAGCCATTGTCTGGATTCAAGACCCTAGAGGTGGAAGTCCCACCTAGCGAGAGCTGTGAGCCAAAGGCCGACAGCACTTGCACTTGGCAGTACCATAGCTGCTGCCAGAAGAGCATCCCCAATGTTCCAGGATCGTGGAGGAGTCAAGATTATGCTAGGTGATTTGTTGGAGTGAAAAAATGATTCTCAGTATGGGGGCTTTGGAAAAGAGGAGAGCAGGAGGAAGGAAGCAAGATCAGGTGGAAGGGGTGAGAAGTACAGTCAGGGTGTTGCTGCCAGCAGGTACCCCTTGCCCTATTTCCAGTCCCTAGATAAGGCATTGAGTGCCTTTGATTGAGAGGCGACCCACCCCAGGTGACAAGTTGCCCACCAAGTTTGACCTGTTGGGCATGTTGTTTTGCAGCAGGCCTGCCTGCAGCTTGGTATTCCCAGCAATGATGGGCTTAAGACTCTTTGTGGTCCATAATTGGCCACATAAAGGCAACAATTGGCAGCATGGTTGGACTTTCCAAACCAAAAGTTAATTCTACTGGAGGCAGGAAAGCAATGAGGTTTGGTTATACTACCACCCTGTCTAATTATGCATTCTTCCTGCTTCCAAGCTTACTGTCTTTCGCAGAAGATTCAACCCGTAGTCACTGATTATATTCAAGCATGAGCTGGACAGATTTTGGGAACTACGGGACAGTCAGCGGTATATACCCATGGTGTTGTGTTTGTGTGTGTGACAGAGAGTATATATATATATGTGTGTGTATGTTGGGAGTGGTAATAGTTCCAAGATATTAAACCTGTGACAATGGAAGAACACCATTATATTTTCAAGTTAGGATGGTGTGTGGTTAGGAGGGGGACTTATATTTGGTGATGTTCCAATATTTCCTGTCAGAAATGGTCACTGTTTGGAACCTGTGTGGGGTGATGTTTATTTCTGCTATTTATCCTGAAGGTTAGCCATGTTAGTACTTGTTAGTTTAAATGAAACTGAAAACTGTATCATCTTTAGCGAATATCCCACTTCTGACCTTAAGTTGACACGAAGGTCTTTGATGAAGCAGTTGAAGATAATTGGGTCTAGTATTTATCTCAGAGAGCCTAGATTTAAGTCTCACCTTCTCCATAGGTATACAATAATATTGCTGAACAGGTTGATTAGAAAATATGTAAAATTTCAAGGAATTGCTGCACCAACATCCTAGAATGGACTTGGTTGCCTCAAACTCCTTTGGGCTGTGTATGACATTGGGAGTTTTCCCTCTGATTCCAATTGACATCAAAGAGCTCTAGTTAAATTGAAACCATACTCAGTCAAATGATGCCTCAATGTTAAGGGCAGTCACTCTGCCCTCAGCTCTGGTGCTTAGCCCTTTTATTTATATTTAGAGCAGCACTGTAATGAGAACTGGACTATGCCAATTCTGTACTGAGAAGCCATACTGAATTAGACTATGTTGCTACCCCATACAGGCTGCAAAGTGACCTTATCTGAATGTTAACTAGCTGAACTTACACACAAGTTCCTGTGCTTTCTACATACTATCCTATTTAATTTTCCCCCTCAAGGCATACTTTTTAATTGGTGGACTAAAAAGTTACATTAAAAGAATAATAATTATCTGGAAATATATTGCAATCATATAGGAGCTCCTGCTGACATTTATAATCCTCTTCAGTTAGTACCTGTTGACAGTTAGCCCTCTGTTGTTCTGTGGACCTTCATGTGTAATAGCATAAAACAGCAATGAACAACAGGACATCAACAAACCAGCCAACTGTGGATTCTATCCAACTTATTTAGTCTCTTATGTTATAGTTTGAAAATCAAAATGAAAACAATAGCACAACTCCAGCTACCTTGCATCTTTTTTAGATATTTTTAGTCAACACGTACAGGGGATGTCATTACATTCACTGGGAACAGGTGGAACTTGAACCTAGATCTCCTGGTTCAATAGTAGAAACACCGCTACTGTGCCACAAGATCCTCTTAGCTTGCATCTTTTTTACATGGCCTTTATGATATCTTTGTTAAGTTTCCATGATCATGGGAATCCATGTTCCCAGAGACATTTTTATTTGTTATACCTCACTAGTGTAATGCCTTTGAAATCTAACCCTGCTATTCCTGGAGTCAGCACAGAAGTTAAAGATCTTATAGAAGTATGCAAATTTTCCCAAGTTATCTGATTATTACTCCTAGGTTGATAAAATTCATGGACCAGATTAACGTACTTAACAAGAATTGCTATTTATTCGAAGTAAATAGAACCTAACTACAAGGAATCAATTATGAACCATCAGCATATAATTCTTGAACAAAAAAAATTGTTGGAAATGCTCAGCATCTGTGAAGAAAACATCAGAGTTAATGTTTTGGATCCGGTGCCCCTTCTTCATAATCATACTCATTTGACTAAGTACACTCAGATTTTTTTCTTCACAGATGCCATCACACCTGCTGAGCTTTTCCAGCTGCTTCTGTTTTTGGTCCTGATTTACATTATCCACAGTTCTTTCAGTTTTTATTTAGCATATAATTTTGCCTGTTAAACCTCGAGTCCCCTTATTAATTTCCCTTACACATAGACAGATATAGACAGAAAAGTAAAAGGTGTTATGACCAGAGAGAGAAGCTGGGTAAGCAGTTCAGTGGTCTCTGTTCACAGTACCTGCTGAGGTGATTCTTGTGCTGATCAGAACGCTGCTTCTCAGTCTTCTTTCTCTGGATACTTTCACTGGAGGAGGTCTGACGGCTTCTCATTATCTTGTTCACAGACCCAGTCGTTCAGGTGAGAACTAATTACGTTGTTAGTAGGCAGAAGGACTTTGTCATTGATAATTAGTCACTAGCCAACAGACCAATCAGCTACTTGTGTCAGCTGAATCTCCATTAGTACACAGCCCATGGTTTTAGCTTGTCTGTACCATCTTCTACGACCACTTGAACTAGCAACTGTCTGAACAGTGCTTTCAATGAATGTAAAGTTACTTGTTTTTAAAAACTACAGTAAGCCTTCAGTAATCCTTGATTTAAAATTTATTTCAAAATACAGAAAAATAAAAATACTTGGTCCTTACATTATAAATTTGCTTTCATTTATAATGTGATGTCTTTACAGTTCTTTTAATTAACATCACATTAACTAGTTTATGTGAGTTCCTGCATGTTAGCCTAGTTTACATGGGTGTCTGCTAACACACTGCTCTGTTTAATTCCCTGTTGCATAATAAAAGAAACTGAAGTGAAATGCTATACAAGAATAAGAAACATTTAGCTCTAAGTTTGAGACAATTGTTCTAATTTAGAACATAGAACAGTACAGACCCTTTGGCCCATGATGTTGTGCCAACCTATTATCCTGCTCGAAGATCAAACTAACCTGCACATCCTTCATTTTACTATCATCCATGTGCCTATCCAGGAGTCGCTTAAATGTCCCTAATGGATTTGACTCCACTACCACTGCTGGCAGTGCATTCCACACACCCACCACTCTCTGTGTAAAGAACCTACCTCTGACATCTTCCCTATACCTTCCTCCAAACACCTTCAAAGTATGTCCCCTCGTGATAGCCATTTCCACCCTGGGAACAAGTCTCTGGCTATCAACTCTATCTATGCATCTCATCATCTTGTGCACCTGTAGCAAGTCACCTCTCATCCTTCTTCATTCCAATGAGAAAAGCCCTAGCTCCCTTAACCTTTCCACATAAGGCCTGCCCTTCAGTCCAGGCAGCATCCTGGTAAATCTCCTCTGCACCCTCTCTAAAGCTTCCACATCCTTCCTATAATGAGGCCACCAGAACCGAACACAACACTTCAAGTACGGTATAACCAGGGTTTTATAGAGCTGCAGCATAACCACGCGGCTCTTAAACTCAATCCCCCTGCCAATGAAAGCCAACACACCATACACCTTCTTAACAACCCTATCAACTTGGGTAGAAACTTTGAGGGATCTATGGACGTGGACCCCAAGATCCCTCTTTATCTCCACACTGCCAAGAATTCTGCCATTAACCCGGTATTCCGCATTCAAATTCGACCTTCCAAACTGAATCACTTCACACTTTTCCGGGTTGACTTCCATCTGCCACTTCTTTGCCCAGCTCTGCATCCTGTCAATGTCCCATTGCAACCTACAACAGCGCTCCACACTATCCATGACTCCACCAACCTTTGTGTCATCGGCAGTTTGAACTTATTCATTACACTGGGGAGACAGGAAGAGTGTTATGACTAATCTTTAATTGTGTTTTCATGACTTTTAAATTGCTTGCTTGCATCCGTACCAGGTATTCTTTGGAAATTTCAGAATGTAGTGTATGTTAGGAATAGATTTTCATTTTCAAAATCTGGTAGGGAGATTGGATGCCTTTTATAGAACCTGCCTGTTTATTGAAATCGATGGAATAAAACTAGTACATGTCTATAAAGAACAAGAGATTTGACAGCACTGCCCTGCTCACCAGCCTCGACCCTGCGAAATACCATTTCAATGGTGGACACAAGAATCCAACCTCTCTCTTCTATCATGTTTTGCCTTGATTCCACACTTACATTAAGAAACTACTTCTGGAGAAAGAGTTAAACTGATTTTTCTTTTAAAAGTAATGTTTTATTTGAGTACTAAAATAGTCAATGCAGAGAGATGAAAAACCTTGATGTCTTCCTTCAGCATGGAAAGCAACTAACAAGCAGAGCAGCTACACAAGCACAATGTGATTTACAAAAGCTCGTTACATTGATTGACAAATCCTGTTTTTACATATAGCAGATTTGAGCCTGCCTCCTTTCTGTTGATTGGTTTCCTTCTACAACTGACTTTGCATTTCTTAGCTTTGAGTCTTTCTTTGCTTCTATTTTGTCCAAGGATATTCTGCGTGGATTCTCTTTCTTTATTTGTCTGTTCTCAGTCCCCACCTTATTTTCACATGTAAGCTGTAGAGAGGCAGCTACATCTTTTATGGCAGAAATTTATGGTAGGAACTGCCGATGCTGGAGTCTGAGATAACAAGGTGTAGAGCTGGATGAACACAGCAGGCCAAGCAGCATCAGAGGAGAAGGAAAGCTGACGTTTCGGGTCTGGACCCTTCTTGAGAAATGGGGGAGGGGAAGGGGGCTCTGAAATAAATAGAGAGAGGGGGAGGCGATGATAGAGGGTGGATACAAGAGCAGATAGGTGGAGAGAAGACGGACAGGTCAAGGAGACGGTGATGAAGCCAGTACAGGTGAGTGTAGGTAGGGAGTTGGGATGGGGGTTAGTCAGTGAGGTGGGAGGGGTGGGTAGGTGGGAAGGAAGACGGATAGGTCAAGGAGGCAGGGATGAGCTGGGCTGGTCTTGGGATGAGGTCGGGGGTGGGGAGATTTTGAAGCTTGTGAAGTCCACATTGAGACCATTGGGCTGCAGGGTTCCCAAGTGGAATACGAGGTGCTGTTCCTCCAGCCTTCGGGTGGCATTGATGTGGCACTGGAGGAGGCCCAGGATGGACATGTCGTCCAAAGAGTGGGAGAGGGAATTGAAGTGGGAGGTGTTGTCGTTTGTCACGAACCGAGCGTAGGTGCTCCACAAAGTGGAGGCTTGGAGCCTCCTTGATTTGACTGTCTTCTCTCCCACCTATCTGTTCCTCTATCCACCTTCTATCATCGCCTCCCGCACTCTCTATTTATTTCAGAGCCCTCTTCCCCTCCCCCCTTTTCTCAATAAGGGTCCAGACCCAAAATGTCAGCTTTCCTGCTCCTCTGATGCTGCTTGGCCTGCTGTGTTCATCCAGCTCTACACCTTGTTAACTTTTATGGCACTTTTGTTTTTCAAATGTTCACAAACATCTGATTAAATTGCTCATAAGGGACCACCAGCTAGGATGAAGCTTATGAAATTGAAGGCAAATTATTGACCTGGTTAAGAAATTAAGCAGCAAGGGACAGGCAGGAAGGAAATGGGTAGGTTCCCAAATTGGCAGGTTGTGATTAGTCGAGTACAGTGTAGATTTACCAGAAAGATACTTAGGTTCCAGGGATTAAACTAAGAGGAGACATTACACAAACTAGGTTTTATTCTCTGGCGTTTAGAAATTTAAAGTCTGACTTGGTTCAAGTCTCAAGATATACATAAGGCAGATAGAGAGGAACAAAGTAGAGCGTCCAAGACTGGGGGCATAGTCATAAAATTAGAGCCAGATCTTTCACAAGTGACATTAGGAAACATTTCTAAACTTAAAATGCCTGGCATGCCTAGAGATAAGTTTGAAACAATTCTTTAACAAATAGCAATAGATGCCAAAACTATTGTTACTTTGAAGTCTGAGCTTTATAGATATTTATTCACAGAGATGAAATGTGGAGGTCAGTGGCAGATCATCCATGATCTAACTGAATGACAAAAGGCTTGAGGGTCTAAATATCATATTTCTGAGTTCTTACCAAAGCCATTCTTTGTGGCATACATTTCAAAGTCCAGCCATAATGCTAGATTCACCATATTACAGTTTAAAAATACCTTATCTTGTATTATCTCCATTTTTCAAAAGATAACAGAAAGGGCGAATATTGGTGATGAGAGGAGATGGAAAGCAGGTAAACATTTGAGGGTTTAAAATTTTCTTTATAACTTTTTGTCCCTCAGGTTCATTACTTTGAAGAGGGTAGCATCAATTTGACCAACAATGTTGACGTGAAACAAAATCTTGCTGCAAAGGTAATGAAAATATACATTATATGCAAGTGTGTGTACCTGTGCAATTTTATGCATCAGCAAGGGATATGCTCTTATAAAACTAGAAATAAATTCCAGTTCATACAGCAGAACCTCTCACCAGCAGGCACTCTTTGTTATGACAAATTATTCTTCCAGATTACTAAAACATGTTAGAACTAAAATGGTGTTATGACAGCAGGACAACAGACAGCAAAAGATCAGCAGGTTGAATGGGTCACTCAAATGGGATTATATAGCAGTTGTGACAAATGTAAGGACACAATGGGAATGGCTAACAAAATAATGAATGGGATAGGGGACACCAATAACCATATAGAGATCAGAATGTGAAAGCAGCCACCTGGCTCAACCTATCTGTATTCAAGCTTATCCTGTATGAGTAGTATTTCTTATTCTATGTACCTGTTTATTTTCATCTCTCCCTATTCATCTTACCTTGTACTGACTGCCTAACATGTTACTTGTGTCAACAGATGGGAAGCTGGAAAAGCACAGCAGGTCAGACAGCATCAGAGGAGCAGGAAAGTCAATGTTTCAGCCCGAAACCCTTCGTCAGTACTGGGGACAGAAAGGGGAGCCCAGAAGTACATCGAGGGAATGGGGTGGGGCTGTTGTCAGGAGCCTGGAGAACACCGGTTCTGGTTATCGGCTTATACAGAAATGAGAAGAGTCACTTCTCCTAACCTCACAAATTACTTTCTTAGTGTACTAAACAAGACACATGTTGCTTAAATGCTTTTATCACAAAACTAGACCTTATATTTTCCCACTGCCCGAGGGTCTTCTTTTTATTCTGACCTCTCTCAAGTCGCGCGGTCTTCTTCCCGTTGGCTCAGGCTAATTCACTTATCACATACCTTTACTTTATTGGCCCTGGCCCAGAGACCTATATAGTACTACTTCATTATTTCTCATCCAAATAAGGCTTTTGCATTACCTCATCCTTCTTACTTTTTGCAGAACTTCGTAAATTCAAATTCCAGTTTAAATCAGCTCAAACTAGCACCTGGGCACAGGTCATTTTTAGTTCATAAGCTGCTTCTTTCTTCGTGTCAGCACCTTTGCATTCAGTACCTCCTGTTAGCGATGTTGACGGCTGGTCCCCCTCTCTCTTTATCTTTCTGCAGTTTCTGGCTAACTAGACAGTGATGACAGCAACTTGTACCTTTCTCTCTCTCTCTGCAACCTCTGGCTAATAGGCTGAGGGGAAGGGTAGGTGACATGGTGATAGATGGATGCACATACTTGATCTGGTCACTGTTTCACTAACACAAGTATTGCATTTCACAGACACATGACCTTGTGTTATGAAACTAAATTATTTGCATTTAATCTCAGATCAACATCCATTCAAAAAAAATCACCAGAAATAGTTGGGGATGGGCAGAGAACAGAAGGTATAAGGTGAGGTTAGGACAGTCAGTCAATCAGGAGAGGGTAGAAATGGACCCACTGAAGGCTCCCATTTTTCATACAACACCAGCCCCAAATGCAACTATTGGGGGATCCTTATCTTAAGCACAGTGACACATCTCCATCACCTTCCAAACAAAAGACAGAAGCAAAAAGAAGCAAGGGGATGGCAGGTAGGATAGAAAAAGAGAAAGGCAGAAGAAACAAAACGACAAGTCAAAGGTAGCTGACAAGTGAGCAAGTGATCACATTCTCCAACTCATTGTTTAATGTCACAGGAGATTGACTAGCCGTCTTACATTTCCATTTTCTTTCTTTCACTAGAATGAATGTGAAGGAGCTGCAGAGTTTGTGAAAATTATTGAAAATGCTGACACTGAATTTCAGGTAGCTGCACAACTGGTATATGTTACCTGTTCATTATGTTATCTGATTCATTAAGTAAAAAAATTGTTAATGGCACTCAGTAGCATTATATTGCTCAGATAGATGGAATCAAGAAATAAGATAATTAGGAATAACATGACAGAATTACTGTCCAGAGATAGTAGGAACTGCAGATGCTGGAGAATCTGAGATAACAAGGTGTAGAGCTGGATGAACACAGCAGGCCAAGCAGCATCAGAGGAGCAGGAAAGCTGACGTTTCGGGCCTAGACCCTTCTTCATTTCTGAATGTATACTTTACTGGCCCTTTCCTTTTAAGTACAGTTAGTCCTATCTTTCAAAAAAGGATGGCAAGTGTATGTTTATACAGCATTAATGATTAACAACACGTTGAAACTTTTGCATTCTCTTTACTTCCCTACAAACCTTGCCATGAATCAACCCTTTTGCACTGCAGTTTGTTTTGTAACTTTAGATGTTAAACATTGATAACAGCTTACTGCCAGCTCTGCAAAAAGACCCATAGTGGTGATGTTAATAAAATGTTGCAGTCTAACAACCTGTCAATAGCTAAGATTACTCTCTATTATATAATATATTGCTGGATAATTCACCTTTAATTAAAAAAAAAGTCATGCAGATGCCTTCAGCTATAAAACTAGTGCACAAGTAGAACGTTAGTTAAAAAAATCTGCAAGAATCAAAATCCTCTTGCTTCCTCTGCAATACTACTTTTGTCTATCAGTAAAGACAAAGTTGGTTTAGCTGCAAAACAGCCAACTGGGTTTTTCTCCAATTCTTCCAGTGTACAACTTTAGCTCCACACACACAGCTCTTCTTTTGTGAGACTGTGTAGAGTCTGAGGATTCAACCAGTGTGCACAACGACAAACTAATAGACCTCGCATGAATATATTTATTCACCTCCACGTTTCACACTATCCAGACTTAGATGCTGTTTTGCCATTTCTATTTCATCGTTGATTCAAAATTCTGGAACTCTCTACGTAATGGTGCTATACAAGTAACTTTTTCCCCGCACAGAACACAGTTTTTCAAAGCAGCCCTGCATCAGCTTCACAAAGAAAATGAGGGATGAGTAAAGACATGCCTGCCTTTCCAGGGTCACCCATATCCTGAGAAGGACTTAATTAAATCTGAAGTGGGCAGCTAAGAGCAAAATTGTGTTGAGTCAATTTTAGCCAACTGCAATTTATATTGAAAATAAATTTCTCAACATACATAGTGACCAAAATGGAGGAGGTCAGGTGACAAGGTGTGTATCCTTTATGAATCTGTTTCTCTTTCAGTTTTATTTTCTTAAAACGTAGTCAGTCAGCATTAAGCAGATGATGAACATGTCAAGCTAACTTGCTACTAGTTGACCTCCAAAGTAGGGGTCATTTGATACTTACTCGCAGGTACCCTCTTAAAGACCAGATCTGAAGATTTAAGTTGGCTACTACCTTCATTATAAAGTTTTTCTTGATTGCCTCCAGCAGTGGGACAGTGGCATAAATTGTATAGCAGCAGTGACTACATTATTTGCACATGGCTTCAATAGTGATGAAGCATAAATCATCTTCTCCACAAATAAACACAATTGCATTGCTTCATGAAGATCGCAGGAAACTTTGATTTTTATTATTAAATCACATTATAATTGTAAGTCATTGTAACTGATTCTAAGGTTAGTAATTGATTGTAAAGCAATTTTACAATGACTGAAAGTGGAATCTGTTGCATTCGGAGCTGCAAGAGATTATCCTTTTATTCTATCTTCCTCCAGCTTGGTCTGATGGAGAATTATCAGAAGTTGGATTCTCTGCTTAAGGGGCTTCGGCGCCAGCTGCCATTTACACACACAACAATTGACTGGAACAAAATAATCAATGCCAAGATTGTCAGAGAGGTGGACCTAGCACAGGCATTGCAAGAGTCTAAATCTGAACGTTTGAATTTTCATTGATATCTTTGGTGTCTGACTCTCTACATCACAGTCATTATGTTTAAAAATTAAAGTGCACAAATGGAGATAAAATCTGAGTTTATCTTAATTCCTATATTTTCATCATCCAAACGCAAGAACAAACAAGACACATTGCAAAAAAATTCTTTGTACTCAAGGTCAGGTCAACAACGTGAGAAAACAAACTGTTCCAATTAATGCGATCTAACTTTGGCTACAGTCATCAATTATAATACAGGTTAAAGTTTCAATTCACCATGCATTTAGCTTTGGATATATGCATTATATGGCGCAAAAGTAGCTTTTCAATTGTGATCAGTAAAAAAAAAGTATATTTTTATTCTGTAACCGGATTTGAATTTTAATGAGGTATATACAGAGGTGGTCTTTTGAATAGTGCATTGCCATGAGCTTTTATGCTGGTCTGATCTACTCATCTAAAATAGAAGGCGGCATGGTGTAACAGTAGTTGGCACTGCTGCCTCACAGAGCCAGAGACCTGGGTTCGATTCCAGCATTGGATGACTGTCGGTGTGGAGTTTGCACTTTCTCCCTGTGTCTGTGTAGGTTTCTGCTGGGTGTCTCAGTTTCTTCCCACAGTCTAAAGATATGCAGGTTAAGTAGACTGGCCATGCTAAATTGCCCAGTGTCCAGGGATTCGCAGGCTAGGTGGATTAGTCATGGGAAATGTGGGGTTAAGGGATCGGGTGGTGGGGTGGGGATTAGGTCTGGGTTGGATGCTCTTCAGACTTAATGAGCTGAATGGTCTCTGTCTGCTCTGCAGAAGTTCCATGATTCTAATCTATGAAGTATGGGCTAACTACAGTCAGAAAAGCCATTATTTGAAATTTGCAAGTTTAGAAAGGTAAGAGAGAATGTTTTAATGTACCAATTTTCACAACCTAAAGACGTTCTGTGGTGTTTCACAGCCAACAAGTTACTACAATGTCAGCCAATAATTAGTAGGAAAACATGATAGTCAATACATGCATAATCAGGTCCCTCAAATAACAAATAATCAGGTAACTTTTTTTGCTAGTTGTGGCTGAGGTATAAGCTTTGGTTAGTAGAATTTCTTCCTTATTTGAAAATAATTGTATGGGTCAATTTCTATGTACCTCAATGGGTAACGTAATTTATTTTAATCGATTTACTATCTCATGCAAAATAGGCCACCTCTAACAAAACTCCACTCATTATTGCACTGAATTGTCAGCTCAGATTATCTTCACATTCTTGAATAGGGTGTGAATCCATAATCATTTCAGAGGAAAGGGTGATGCCACTGACCCAATTTAATACTTAAATGAATTTCATATAAAGGCAAGGAGATATGCAGCCTTGCCAAAGAGCTAAAAGGCAATCCACTCCAGACATTCTAGATTAAAATAAGCCGTGTCACACATACAAGTGTCAAGTTGGATTGTTTTTCACATGTTAGACTGTCTCAAGCTGCTTTAATAATGGCCAGTGCAAAGTTAAACCACAAAGCAATATTCATGAAAACATCAACTTCTGTGCCAACTTTAGAGAGTGAGTGGTTGTCGTCAGGATACCACAATAACCTAAGAAGACAAAATTAGAGCAAATTTTATTTCTGATGATGAACACCTCCTTTCTCATTCTTGCTTTTTTGTTTTGGTCATCCAGCATTTTACAGGGAAGTTAAACCGAAAAGTATTTCTGCCACCACCCAAGGTCCATCTACCTCCTTTAAAGAAGCTCGATGTTTGGTTTTCAATCAACTTTCTTCTCCCAGTACAGCCAGGACCAGAAAATCTGGGCTGAGAAAGGAACATACTTATATATCCACATGTAAACCGACTTCTTTTAAATTGGGGGTTGCCGGCTGTGCCAACATTTATTTCCCATCCCTAACTGCCCAAAGGACAAGTGACTCAACCACATTGCTCAGTGTCTGAAATCACATGTAGGTTAGACCAGGAAAGGACAGCTGATTTCCTTCCCGAGAAAAGTGAAGGACATGGACTTTTACAATGATTGACAGTGGTTGCCATTGAGCTAACTTTTTATTCCAGAATTTTGCCAAATTCAATTTACCCCAGAGAATTGGCCTGGGATTCTGGATTGCAAGTCCTGTGACATTACCACAACACCACTACCTCCCCTTAAATTCAGAGACTCCAATAAATTTGACTATGGACTGCACAACATAGCACAGACATACTGATATACAAATCAAATATTTTAACCTATTTATCAGTTGAATATTTTCACAGAACACATCATAAAATGAGACAGAGATTTAAAAATGCCCATGTTAATAAATACCTAGAATTGTGTATCCTACCCAATCCTTAGCCAGCATAAGATTGAGGCTTTCTTCTTATAGACAGTGATCACCAATATTACATGAATATGTGGGAGGTTTGTTTAACAAAATGCGCTAATTATAAGATGTTCATAGCAGTAGTAGTTTTTTTTTATTGCTCATCAGAATATTCACAGTACTGTCAATTAAATCTGCATGGCAATTCCCTTACTTGGCAATGATCAATCAGTATCTGGGATTGTCAGTATTTAATCATCACAAATCGAAGTGTTTTTCTTTGGCAGTACTGCCAAAGTACAGTTAGTTGTTTAATTGTTTTACTTTGCATACTGGTTATGATTTGTCTTTTATAGGTCATTCATTATACATTGGATGTTAGATTGTAGATGTGATGACTAAGTGATTGAGACATTGGAATTAAAATCCAATGAGTTTTTCCCTGTGTCAGTTTGAGCAGTGTTCAAAGCTGATATCTCCAAAGTTAGAGATAATGCTTACTCGTTGTGGTTGAATTGATAATGTTCTCAGCTCTGGACCAAAAAGTTAAGGTTCAAGTCCCATTTCAGATGTGAGTACAAAAACAATTGGGGAAAGCAGTGGCTTCATGGTTAAAATTGCTGGCTTAGAATTCCAGCAGGCCAGACTAATGCCTTGGGAATATTGATTCAAAGCCCACCACAGAAGCTAGTGGAATTTAAACTCAGGGCTCCTTCACATGCTATTCAATAATTATGATTTCATCATTTCCAAGAGAGTATAAACGACTGGAACCTTTTTGCAAATTTCAAGATGGTGAAATCTGCTCAGAATAATACTGTGGATTTTTCCAAAGATAAATTCATATTTGCATTGTGAATTCACTTTTTACATTCATTAGAATCCAAAGAATATTTGAAATGTACACTTGTTGCAAAAGTAAGCACAATAATTCTAAGTGGTTCAACCTGTACCATTTCCCCACAGATTGCAAACATAATTAATGCAAATCCACAATATTAATGCATAATTAGTACATCTGTCTGAACAAGTACACAGAGGAAATTAAATCTATGATTCATTCATAAGAGCTGACTAAACCAATAAAGGCAATGCCCTTATATGTATGCATGTTCAAAAAAAAATTAGACTTTTCTTTTACTTACTTATTTATATTCTTTTAACCTCAATTAAACAGAATAAAAAAAATTGGGTTCAACTCCATGACGGGAAGGGTTGAAATACCAGCAATTTCCTTTACCAACAGGTCCAAGTGACAAGGTAAACTAGATGGGACAATTGGACTTTCTATTTTCTCCTCGATGCTGTTGGAAAAAAACACTTACTTTGTTTTAAACTTGAGGTATTGAGGTATCAATAATTCTAAACACTAAAATTCACCCAAGCTACACATCCCTCCCCTGGATCAGTATGCACTTCAAAAGTAGTGAGGACACAGGCTCCCTTCTAATTAATAGCCCCCTGGAATCTCTAATCTCAGCCAAACAGAGAAGGAATTTCTCGAGTTGGAGAAAAAAAACCTTAGATGGTGAATTACCAATACCACTTGCAAACAGTCACTGTTAGCTTGCCTATGAGCAGCTTTGGCCAAAATCTGACTCAGCCCTACAAACGAAAGAACTCAAAGGAAAAGGAAGCATATGTAAGGTTTAGGAAATTGAAATTAAACAAGGCACTTGAGGAATGTAAAGAACCAGGTAAGAATTTAAACAAAGAATTAAAAGGGCTAAAAGGGGCAATGAAGTGTCCTTGCTAAGTAGTATTAAGGAGAATCCTAAATCATGTCATATTTATATTAGGAGTAAGAGGGTATCTAGAGAAAGAGTAGTTCCACTCAAGGACAAAAGGAGGAAATTTATGCATGTAGCCAAAGGAAGTAGGTGAGGTTCTTAATGAGTACTTTGTAGTGGTATTCATCAGGGAGAAGGACATGGATGGCAGTAAGTTTCGGGAGGAATACGTTTGTATTCTAGGGCATGTTGATATTAAGAAGGTGGTGGTGTTGAGTGTCTTGAAAATTGAAAAACATCAAGGCGGACAAGTCCCCAGGGCCTGATGGATTCTATCTGAGGATACTGAGAGAGGCAAGAGAAGAGATTGCTGGTGCCTTGGCAGAGATCTTTGCATCCTCTTTAGCCACAGGTTAGGTTCCAAAAGACTGGAGAATAGCCAGTGTTGTTCCTTTGTTTAAGAAAGGCAACAGGGACAATCCAGAAAATTATAGGCCGGTGAGCCTTACATCAGTGGTGGGGAAATAACTGAAGATGATTCTTAGTGACAGGATTTACTCACATTTGGAAAAGAATGGAATTATTAGGGATAGTTGGCATGGCTTTGTGCAGAGGAGGTCTTATCTCGCAAATGTGACTTTTTTTTGAGGAAATGACAAAGATTATTGATGAGTGTAGGGCAGTGGATATTGTCTATATAGGCTTTACTGAAGCATTTGACAAGATCCCTCATGACAGGCTGACCCAGAACTCATCCGGGATCTATGATGAGTTGGTAAGTTGGATACAAAATTGGTTTGGTCATAGATAACATAAAGGGGTGTTTTGCTGACTGGAGGTCCATGATCAGTTGTGTTCAGCAAGGATCAGTGCTGGGACTTCTGTTCTTTATATGTTTTGGATGAAAATATAGGTGGTCCGATTAGTATGTTTGCAAACACCACAAAAACTGGTGGATATGTGTGTAGTGAGGAAGCCTGTCAAAGTATACAAAAGGATGTCGATCAGTTTGAAAATTCGGCAAAGAAATTACAAATTGAGTTCAATCCAGACATGTGTGAAGTGAGGCATTTTGGAATGTCAAATGCAAGAGGAAAGTACACAGTAAATGGCAAGACCTTTAGCAGCATTGATATACAGAGGGATCTTGGGGTGCAAGTCCATAGCTCCCTATTAGTGGCAACTCAAGTGGATAAGGTGGTAAAGGAGGCGTATGGCATGCTTGCCTTTATTAGTTAGGCATTGAGCATAAAAATTGGCAAGTCATGTTGCAACTGTATAAGACTTTAGTTAGGCCACATTTGGAATAATATGTGCAGTTCTGGTCATCACACTTTAGGAAGGATTTGAAGGCTTTAGAAAGGTTACAAAAGAGGTTTACCAGGATATTGCCTGGATTGGAGTATATTATCTATATGGAGATGTTGGGAAAACTTGGATTATTTTCACCCGAGTTTTGGAGGCTGACAGACGACCTGATAGTAATATATGAAATTATGAGAGACATGGATAGGGTGGACGGTCATGGAGGTTTTTCTCCGAGAGTGGAAATGTCAAATACTAGGGGGCATAGGTCTGAGCTGAGAGAGGGAAAGTTTAAAGGAGATGTCAAGGCAAGACTCTCTACATAGTGTGGTAAATGTCTGGAATGCACTGCCAGGGAAGATGGTAGGAGTAGATATGATAGCAACGTTAAAGAGGCATTTAGACCGACAGATGAACAGGCAGGGAATAGAGAGATATGGACCATGTGCAGGTAGAAGGGATTAATTTAGAAAGGCATCCTGGTTGGCGCAGGCATAGTGGGCCAAAGGGCCTATTTCTGTGCTGTACTGCTCTAAGTTCAATGATCCCTTTGACTGTATAATAATGGGTGGCAAATGAAAGCTGAAAGCAAAGGAGATAATAGCTTAAAACAAGAAGAATTTAAAATGAAACTAACAACACGGTACCACTCAGACATTTAGCATAAACTTCAGCTTCACTACAGATGCGAAATGGGCTGTGGCAGATTAGTTGTGTGTTGTACATCTGGCCTGATAAGTCCTCTTTATTGTCAACTCGAGTGAAACATCAATCAAGCAGAAGATATAGTTTGTGGCCAAACCACCATTACCCATTTAATGGCCCTGACCCACAGCAAATTTTTACAATCCCTCTCCAACCTCTGACCCTTTAGCTGGTAGGACCACAGTGTGGAGAAGGCTGAACTATACGGAATAACTTCTAATTGGAGAGTTCTGCGCTTTTTAAAAATAAGGTCCTTTATTTCCTTTTCTAAAATCTCACTGGAATGTGCCATGCATTCAATGGAAAGCACCAAGTAGGGATTTAATACAGGAACTATTGATCAAATCATTTGTTACATGATGGTTAATGAGGGTTGCTTGATTGGACTGAAGTTTCTGACAACCTCCTCCGTATTGGATTATTGACTGCATTGAAAATTGGCACACAGCTGAATGTGTGGTAAAGAGCTTTTGGTTTGGAGTATTCATAGCAAAGGTTAAATTGCTGAGAGGATTCATGGACATTAGTTTAATGTGTGAGCAGGTCATTCATAGCTTTGGATTTCACGGCAGATGAACTGCACAGAGCTTTAATATGAGGGGGAGTCTTTTACTGCGAGCTATAATCCCAGTAAGCAGTTTCATGAGCCCATTGGATCATCACAAATTCCATTGTTCAACATACCGCACAGGAACATCTCTGGCTTTCAGTGCACGATACAGCTCAAGGCCTTGTGATGGGTGAACCCGTTTGTCTTTTTCACCCAACATTATCAGAACTGGAGTTCTTACCTGAAAAGGCAAAATTACTGCCTTTACTTTCCTCAAAGAGATCTGACACTATATTTAGTAAAATTAAAGTGAGAAATGCAATTCCTGGGAATTAATACCTTTTAACATTAATTTTGTTCAAACCAAAAACTTAATGACTTCCTCCTTTCTCCACAGCTGGTTCTTCAGTGTTAAGGTAATAAGCCCGCACTGGTAGATATGCCATAGAAGTGGTGACAAAGTGATAAAGAGCGTGACTTCATTTCAGTGGTTTAAGTTGATTTTATTCCAAATTGCAAATTTTCCTTCTCAGTCAAGTGCATGCGAAATGTTGCTTCAGGAGAAGCTGATGAAAAATCTAGAGAACCTGATCCTGCTTATAAATGGATAGACTATACATAATGAGTGAAAAAAGGTAATATTTTAATGATGTCTGCCTCTCTGTACAAGTAAAATTGATAGAATGCTGATTTCCCAGATTTTAAAGGCTTCAAGGGGAATGAGACAAAGTGGGAATATAGTATTGCGATAGAGAATCAGCCATTATAGAAACATAGGAATAGCCCCTTGAGCCTGCTCTGCCATTCATTAAGATCATGGCTGATCTGTGGCCTAACTCTATGTGTGCGCCTTAGGCCTATATCCCTTCACACTCTTGCTTAATAAATTTAAATCTGATATAGACTTTTTTTAAAACAATTGAATTAGCAATAACTGCCATTTGAGGAAGAGTGTTCCAAATCTCCACTGGGCAGCACAGTGCTCAGTGGTTAGCACTACTTCCTCACAGCACCTGGGACCCGGGTTCGATTCCATCCTTGGGCGACTGTCTATGTGGAGTTTGCACATTCTCCCTGTCTGTATGGGTTTCCTCTGGGTTTCCTCCCACAATCCAAAGATGTGTAGGCTAGGTGGATTGGCCATGCTAAATTGCCCGCAGTGTTCAGGGATGTGTAAATTAGGTGGGTTATGGGCTGACGGGTCTGGGTGGGATGCTCTGAGGGTCGGTGTGAACTTGTTGGGTCAAAGGGCCTGTTTCCACACTGTAGGGATTCTATGATAGAATCTTCATAGAGTCAATGATATCTATGATACTCTTAATTTGTAGAAGTACTTTCTAACATCTCTCCTGAATGGGCTGGCCCTAATTCTTCGATTGATCATATTGAAAATAGCTGAATGACCTATTCTGCTGCTGATTTCTATCATTTCAAGACTGATGGGAAAATGACTGAAGGTTTACTGCATCATTCACACAAAATGTCCTCAAATCAACCTCCTACTGCACACATCATTGGTATGTAAACATGTAAAGATAGATTGTGTTGGAATTACAATTATATTCATGAGCTGTATAAAAAAAAACTGGAAGACACTGAACAGAATTTAAAAAGATTTACCAAGGAATTAAATCCACAATTTAATGCAGGCTGTGATCCACCTGACTACAGAATGTCAAATGACTTTGGAAAATAGCCACGCAAAGTTTTTATGGAGACAAGAAACAAGGATTTATTGCCTTAATTGCTGGAAAACCTGGCTTTGGAAGACACTATGGTGCTCCTGTACTGATGGGGAAAGGGAAAACTTTCTGAACTCGATTTCTGTTCCAAATATAGGGATTTAGAAGGAAGGAAGAACGTGTCCAAAATCTGCAGGAAAGCTGTAAGTCTCTCCCTCCCTCTTTTGGCTGAAGTCTTTGGAAACCTGATAAAGTTTCCACATGGCAGTATTTTGACTACCTTGTGAACAGTGAGAACTGTGACCATTTTTCAAAGACCTGGAATCAGCAATGACTTCCATCCAACTGAAGCTGGTTTGGAAGATCTTTCATCGGTCTATGGCTATTAGCAATTTGATTTTTTTTTTCCCGAACAGAAAACCCACTGGACCGTGAGAATTCATAAAATCTTAAAAGCAAAAACAGAAATTGCTGGTGAGATTCAGTTACAATAACTCTAGACCAAGTAAGACTGTGCACCAGCATGCCACAAGCACAGAAATTCTACACTTCAATTAAAACAAACTGTCCTCGGTTCAGACAAGTCTTGTACCCAAACTTTGCAGAAATATCTCTTTTTAAATGCAGCAAGAACAAAAATGTACGACTTACCTGAGACACTTTTGTGATAGGTGATTTGCTCAGCAGAGCGGTCAGTAGAGATGGACTTAGCAATTGGTCTGGGGCAAAATCAAAGCCAGCCTGCACCATGGTACTGTTGAGGGAAATCATAGCACAAATCACAACACCAGATATTTAGCAAAATGTCTGTTTTGTTGATAATTATAATCCCACGCGTCTTACAACAAGGTTTGACTGCACTTTAAAGGCAGGTACATCTAGACTGAGCAATGAAGGCAAGCATTACAAACGCCTTTTTAACCATCCTGTCTATATGTGATGCAAACTTTAAAGAATTGTGTACCTGCACCCTTATGTCCCTCTGTTCTACAACACTATCCAAGGTCCTACCATTAATTGTATAAGCACTACCCTTGTTTGTTGTACCAAAATGCAATACCTCACATTTATCCAGATTGAACTTCATCTGCCATTTTTCAGCCCATTGATGCATTTGATTAAATTCCCTTCGTAATTTTAGAAAACCTTCTTCACTGTCTACAATGCCACCAATTTTGGTGTCATCCGCAAACTTAATAACCATGCCTTCTGTATTCCCATTCAAGTCATTTACATCAATTCTGGATTACTGTGTCTGGTTCTGGTCACCCAGTTATAGGAAGGATATCATCAGGCTGGAGAAGGTTCAGTAGAGATTTACCAGGATGTTGCTGGATATGGAAGATTTGAGTTATAAAGAAAGGCTGGATAGGCTGGTACTTTTTTCACTGGAGCCTAGAAGGTTGAGGGGTAACATAACAGAAGTTTATGGAATAATGACAGGGATGGTTAGAGTTTATGATAGTCGTCTTTTCCCTAAAACAGGGAATTTGAAGACAAGAGGGCACATTTTTAAGGTGAAAGGAGAGAGATTTAAAAAAGATATAAGTGGCAAATTTTTTAAACGGAGGGTTGTTCGCGAGTGGAATGAACTTCTTGAGGAAGTGGTGGATGTGGGTACAATTACAACATTTAAAAGACATTTGGATAGGTACATGAATAGGAAAGGTTTGGAGAGATATGGACCAGGAGCAGGCAGGTGGGACTAGTTTAGTTGGGATTACGTTCGGTAAGGACTGGTTGGACCGAAGGGTCTGTTTCTGTACTGTATAACTATGACCAGACTCACATCTCTATTACTGAGATAATATATCGATTAGGTCAGACCGCTGCAATGTCCTCTTTGCCCAAGAGGTAGTGAATGAGAGACAGCAAATATTTCAATTTGCTTTCCCTCTGTGAATAGGGCCAGGACAGCCTCTATTAATCTTGTTCCTAATCCAATTTGATGCAATCCACAAAATCCCTACATTGCGGAAACAGGCCATTTGGCCTATTGAATCCATACTAACCCTCCAAAGAGCATCCCACACATACACACTCCCCTACCCTACCCCTGCAACCCTGCATTTCCTATGGTTCGCTCACCAAGCCTGCACATCCCTGGACACTTATGGGCAATTTAATATGGCCAATCGACCTAATCTGCACATTTTTGGACTATGGGAGGAAACCAGAGCACCCAGCGGAAATCTACGCAGACACGGGGAAAATGCACAAACTCCACACAGACAGTCACCTGAGGCCGGAATTGAACCTAGCACTGTGAGGCAGCAGCACTAACCACTGAGCCACTGTGCAATCTGAAATGGGCATCAAGTTGACATCTTAACATTGTGTGTGTATTTAGCGCTGCTGTGCATGGCACCATTGCACCACCAGCATTGTGGCTTTTTGAATAACCAGTGCTCCCAATTCCCAAAAGCTACTGAACTGATGGAAAAATGTTTAAGGAAAAATTCATTCTGGCCATCTTTTGAAAAAAAAAGTACCAACAGTACCAGAGAACAGTATGTTGCACTATTGTGGAGTAATTAAAAAATAAATGCAATCAACTGACAATGTTGGAATTTGTGGAAGTGCCAGATATTGAATGCATTCATCCCAAGAAAATTAAAGTTATTGCAATAATAATGATTACAGACAGCCACCTTCTCCATTGCATCCTGTGCAGCAAGTTCTTGCTTAATGCTGACTTAGTCAACACTGTTTTGTTTTAACTTTATCGATGAAATAGCGAAAAATTTCAGCTGATGTTGAGAATTTCACTTCATGATGTTTGCCACAGATTTCCTGTTCTGTGGCTTCCATATGCAATTGACCCTTTCCCCTGCACTTCCACTCGTACCTTCAATGCTGAAGGTGAGCTTTCCTACCAGCTCCCATTCTCACCCTCTGTTACTGCTTCTGAAGTCTCCTGCCTGTTGCCACTCCCAGGGATGTTATCCATGTGCACCTCTTCCCCTACTCCCACTAGGTTTAATGACTTTGAGAGAGTCAGGGGTAGAGCTGAGTGTAGTGGCCATCACCAAGGTGGTGGTGCTGGGGTAGGTGAAAGATCTGAAGGTGAATCAGATGGATGAGGAAGGAAGCAGAAGACAGGAAACTATAGGTCGGTTAAGCCTGATCTTGGTCATTGGTAAGATTTTAAGAGTCTATTATTAAGGATGAGATTGTGGAGTACTTGGAAGCGCATGGTAAAATAGGGCTGAGTAGGCACAGCTTCATCAAGGGGTGTTCATGCCTGACAAATATGTAAGAATTCTTTGGTGGTGGTGATAAGCAAATTCAAAAGACAGCCAGTGGACATGATCTATTTGGATTTCCAGAAGGCCTTTGATAACATGCCGCGCGCGAGGCTGCTAAATAAGATACAGCCCATAGTGTTAGGAGCGAGCTACTGGCATGGATAGAGGATTGGCTAACTATGAGAAATCAAAGAGTGGGATAAAGGCTCTTTTTCAGAATGTCAGCTGATGACTAGTCAAGTTCCACAAGGGTCAGTGTTGGGCTCACAACTATTCACGTTATACATTAATGATCTTAATGAAGGCAAGTTGAGGCCTGGGTCAGATCAGCCATGATCTTATAGAATGGCTGGCAGGCAGGCTTGAAGGGCTTGAAGCCCATGCACCACAAGTGAATTTTAAAAACGGATTGTTGCTAAGTTTGCAGGTGATACAAAGATAGGTGGAGGGACAGGCAACGTAAAGGAAATGGGAAGGTTGCAGAAGGACTTGGACGGACTAGGAGAGTGGGCAAAGAAGTGGCAGATGAAATACAATGTGGGAAAGTGTGAGGTTATACACTTTGGTAGGAAGAATAGAGACATAGACTGTTTTCTAAATGGGGAAAGGCTTTGGAAATCTGAAGCACAGGTCTTGTGTCTTATGGGAGTCTTAGTTCAGGATTCTCTTAAAGTTAACATGTAGGTTCAGTTGGCAGTTGGGAAGGCAAGTGAAATATTAGTATTCTAGCTCTCTTGAAATAAATACAAGAGCAGGGATGCATTGCTGAGGCTGAATGAGGCTCTGGTCAGACCGCATTTAGAATATTGTGAGCAGTTCTCAATCCTGTATCTAAGTACGTGCTGACCTTGGAGGGGGTCCAGAGGAGGTTCACAAGAATGACCTAGGGAATGAAGGGCTTGTCATATGAGGGGCAGTTGAGGACTGTGGTTCTGTACTCGATGGAATTTAGAATATTGGGGGGGGGGTAGATCTCATTGAAATTTGCAGAATACGGAGAAGCCTGGCTAGATTGGATATGGAGAAGTTTCCACTGCGAGGAGACAGCAGAATCAGAGGTCCCAGCCTCAGATTGAACGGATCACCCTTTAGAACTGAGATAAGGAGGAATTTCTTCAGAGAGTTGTGAATTGTGGAATTTTCTGCCCTAGAAGGCTGTGGAGGCCAAGTTATGAAGTGTCTTTAAGATTCTCTACCCCATAGATTTGTGGAGGCTAGATCCCGGTAAATATTTAAAGAGTAGGTAGATAGATTTTTGGAATATCAAGGAGTTGAGGGCTATGAGGAGTTAGCATGAAAGGCAAGTTGAGGCCAGGGTCAGATCACCATAATCTTACAGAATGGCAGGCAGGCTTTAAGGGCTGAACTGCCTACTCCTGCTACTCCCTATGTTCTTATGTTAACATTTAGGGGTTCCTGGTCATGTCAGATGCAGCCATCTCCAGTCATTGCTTCAGCTTGAAATTGAGAATAGCAGTCGATTACACTAATGTGACATCTCCCTTTCCCACACCAGCAATTCTGACAATTATTGTGTTTTAAAAACAAAATTCATGGAACGAGGGTGATTCTGGCTAAGCTAGCATTTATTGACAATCTACAATTACCCTTTAGAATGTGGTGGTGAATTGCCCTTCTTGAACCACTCTAGTCCGTTAGTGCAGTACAGTTTGGAATGGGGTTTCATGAACTTAACTTAGTGACAGTAAAATAACAGTGACATAATTCCAAGTCAGGATGGTGTGTTGCTTGACAGGAACTTGCAGATGAAGGTGTTCCCATGCATCTGCTGCCCTTGTCTAAGTAATAGAGGTTGCCGTTTGTAAGGTACTACCTAATGGGCCTTGGTGAGTTGCTGCAGGGG